GATGAAAATTACAGGCCTCTCTCATCTTTTTAAGTGGGAGAACTTGCACAATTGGTGGCTGACTAAATACTTTTTTGCCCCACTGTATATCACTGCCTTGGGTGACAAGCAGCCAGCAGTCCTCTACATTACCTTTGTTTAAGAAGTATCTAGTAAAAAGGACCTGTGTTAGCTAGGGAAAAAAAAAGAGGAGAACCACTTGGTGATTAAGGTGTTTATCTTGTGTGTTAACCCTTTTCTGTGTCTATCACTTCAGAGACCCTATTGATGGGGCAGAAATCTATCAGTATACTATAGTTTTTAAATATGTTTATGGAGTGTACCCTATATTAATTTAGACAATTTTCTAAATATCTTGTTATCAGGTTATGCAGTTGTCTTGCCTATTCTAATATGCAACTGTAACTTAGAAATGTTAGAAATATTGCATACTGATCATATTACTTCACCATTTTAGAATGAATCTTAGATAAGCACTTATCTGATTAACTTTTACCTACACTTGATTAAGTAACTGTTCATCTATAGGTCACTGAATTCAGTACTGTATGTTTTTCACATATATGCAATTTATATAATGTTTAGTTTTTCTTAAAAAATGAGAGAATAGAGATGACTGTAATGGTCTGTTATATCCATGTTTGTTGCAATAGTTTTGAAAAATAATAAACTTACTCTCAGTGCTTTGGAGATGAGGAATTTAACTGATTATTTTTTAAAATTCTGTCATAGACAAGAAGACTGGAGATGTGGCTGTTCTGAAGAGGGAAACTAGATATGTGTACTACTTGGTATGACACATTTATTGATTCTAGCAGAGATAAATATTTATAGGATTTATGCCTCAAGATTTATGATTGCAAACTTAAGCACTTTCTTCATTGACAAATATTGCTGAAACTTTTAATAACAGTTTCTCTGAAGGAATGGCTATACAAATGCAGTGTTCGCTGCTTAAGGGCTGAAAGACTAGTAAGTTCCCAATTGATATAATCAGATAATCATGTTACTGTGACAAGTTGCATCTTTGTTTCAATTGTAATCAAAAACATTCAGTTATTCAAAAAGTTTTATTTAAAGCTTTGCACATTAAGCCCAAATCATTTACTTAGTAATAATTTCTAAAATCAGTTTCTTCTAAATAGTGTTTATCATTTGAGTATACTCCTGTTATATCTATCTGAAAGCAAATAGTGAATGGTGTTGAAGGATTTTAATTGATTCATTTGCCATTGTCATTGTCCTTAAATATCTAAAAAGACATTTTAGAATTCTATCCTACTTCTGCTTTTTTTTTTTTTTTTTTTACTAAACAGCGCACATTACAATATCTTAGGAGTTCCTTTAACTGATGAGTTAGCGTGACATTTTATATGTATTATTTGGTTGGGTCATATTCTTCAAAACAGTCTGTGATGAAAACACAGTGATGAAAAATCTACTACACTGTTTATGAATGGAATTGTAATCTGAAATATGGTTGCTTTATTTTAAGAAGTTCCCCCAAACTGATATGTATAAATCATATCAGAAATGGAGATCAGTGTCAGTATTACTGTATAACACAGAAGAATCTTTTTATTTATTTATTTATTTATATGATTTGTAAATCTTGAGGTTTTAACTACAGAATGCCAGTATTTGTCAAGGATTCTTGACAAATGATTCCCATCCTAGGAATCAAATCTAAAATGTATCTAATCCACATTTTTACCACCTTTTATATCTTTGAGTTATTTTCATAAGCTACATACGACAATTTACTTTTAATATACATACTGAAATTATAATGATGTAATTTATATATCACTGATTTGCAGTTTGCAGGTACACATCTTTCAGGATTAGAACCTAAATGTCCAACTAAGAATAAATTCAAGGATGCCTTTTTTGCACTGTTTTCCAGGTTAATTGTGTAGGATAGTATATTGTTGTGATCTGCCTTTGGTTACCAAAATAGCACTGACTTAAATAGAGCTTCCAACTTTTCCCCTTAACACTAACTAATATATCATCAGTGAAAACTTTTGAGAATTACTACATGGCTCTCCCCCAATGCTGTCTACAGTATCCCATTATAGTAATTAATTTATTAATTTCACAAAAATTAATTTTAAAGAATTGCTGAAATCTCATGGGATCCCTAAATCTCACAAAATGTTGGTGTCCTCACTGAAAATCCCAAAAGATTCAGCTAATTGAATCTAATACATGAAAATAATATATCAGTTTAGTCCTTTGTGTGTCTATCCAGAAGCAAAGACCATTGAGGTTAGTAGGAATTGCTCCTGGGTTAAGGCTGCAGTTTGGAACATGTTTACTAAGAATCTCCCACTGAATTTACTGAGATTTCTAAGTCGACATGTAGCATGCACCGCAAAAGGAACCAAATCTAAAATTTATCTAATCCACATTTTTACAATCTTTTAGATCACAAAGAACAAATATTTTCATAAGCCTACATATGACAATTTACAGAAGAGTTTAGAAGCTATGAAAATCCATTGTCTGAAAAATGAGGTAACTCACATTTCCATGCCAAAGTAAGCACATTTTATATTGTAAAGTTACTGTACTGGACTATATTTTCACATTGACAAATAAAATAGTTTTTTATTTATTGAAGATCTTTCACTTTTTATTTTATTTTATTGAAATATTTTGTCTCTGGAAAGGCTTTAAAGCAGGGCTCTATAATAAGTCCAAAAGAGCTGGAAAATAGCTACTACCTTTTTAGATTAAGAACATTCAGTATATATTTGTGTATATTTAAAGCAGAAGACCTGTTTTCATTGAATTTGGAGGTGTTATCAAATGGAAGATGACACTTTTCAAGTCCTGATATATGATTGTATCTCTGAGCAAATGTACACTGTTTGAGAGTGCCATATTTCTATAGCTTGAAAAATGTGACAGAAAATGAAGCTACTTGTTAGATGGTCATAATTATGGATGAGTTTCTAAGAAATCTAGATTTTGTGATATACCTAATATGCTAGTGAATGAATTTATTTTACTTAGCATGTGAGTACACATTCTCTAATATTTTTGTGAGCTACAAGGCTTTTTTTTTTTTTTAACATATGGGATAATACTTACCTCATTCGGACAGAGCATCACAGTCAAGTCATGTTTGGTCATTGAATAAGTTTATTGCTCTTGTATGTTTGCCTCCTTTTGAATATCAATTTCCATCATTGGTTCCTTGTATGTGCAGTAGCATCTGCCAGTAGAAGAGAATCTTCCCATGCTACCCCTGATCTGTTGCAGAAGTTTTGTGGATCCTTGCCTTAACTTTGTAGCCTTTGATTATTTTATTCTCTATGAATTTGTTGATGTTGGTAGCTAGGGTCATAAATCATGATTTCTAATTCTGTTTTGGTATTATATTATAGGTTACAGTACTGAACATTTTCCAATTTAAATGTTGAAAATTATAGTTACTGTGAACCATGAAATGAAAAAGGGAATAGAATGTACAAAGAGAGAAAGGAATGCAAGAACAAAAAAGATACTAATCCTGATCAAACAATGGTTTCACTATGATCCTGGGACTGGACCACAGATATGACAGATACAAATTCATGTGACAAATATACTGTATTCATTTTATGCTGATGTTTGCATTGTTTCTAGTGGGAAAATACCTAATATTCACTTGAAAGTGCATCCCATAAATGGGAAATATTTTCAGAGTTTTTGGAAGAGAATGTTGTAGGGATGTTTCTTTAGGATAAATCAATAATTGTAATTATACTGAGATATTTGGCATGGGATTAGTATCACATTTGCGCCTAATATGTTGGTTTGAATTAATTCTTGTTTTGGCACTGCTTATATGCTTCCTATAAATGCTTCCTATAAACTGCCTAGATTTGCCAGGAGTTGAGTGGTGAAATAAATAAATGTCTCAAAGAAAATGTCCAAACGAGATATTTGTATACTCTATATTTCAGGATCGGTTGTGGACTTGACCGCCTGGATTGGAAGAAAGTTTCAACAATGCTTGAAGAAGTATTTGAAGATACCAATATTCAAATTACAGTTTATACTCTTTAATTCCTGGTATAATTGTCTTTACTGTTTGCTGTTATATCCTTGTATCTAATCTGAGATAAGATAAAATTATCTTAGTTCCAGTTTCCACAGTTCTTTAAGACATTTTCTGCTATCCACAAATTTAAAAAAATGTCAAAATTTACATTCTAGTGTTCATGGATACTTTGTGTATCAATCTTCTATTTAGCAATTGGAAGATGTTAGTTTAAGAAAAACACTTGGTACTGCAAGTTTTTGGACTAGATTGGCAATCTGTTTCATGTGGAAGAGATTGGAATAAGGTGGAAAGCTATGTTTCAGTTAAAGATGTAAATGTTTAAAAAAATTCACATATATAAATAAAAGGCCTTTTCCAAATATGAGTTTGTTTTTGAAATGCTGCAGTATATCATTGCACATGCAAAGCTATTTATGTCTACCCAGGTCCATTGTTGAAATGTATGAGGAGTGCTATATATTTAAGCATTCCATGAACATGTTCATACACATCATGGAATTCTGGATCAGTTTTGTTTAGGTGGTTTCTTTAACACAGTACATTTTGCTAAAATAGCAAATGAGTACTAGATAAAATAATTTAGTATGAATATGAGGGCAACTTTTGACTCTATCCCCAGGGTAAATTTATAATAAAAATAGATAATCTTGGAATAAAAATCATAAGTCTCTGTAAGAGGCCTTTTTAAATTAAAAGTGTAACTGGGGACAGCTCATGAAAACTAGGCATGTCTAGTGAGATTGTATTCTTCTCATTTGTTTAATTTTTAAAATTGTACTAAAAACAATTTAAATGAATTTTATCATAAAGCAGCTGAGCCAGCATTCATTAGGAAATTATTTCTCATTGATTAATAAAGACCAAGCTTTTTTATAATACGTGTACTAATCAGTTAATGAGTGCAAGAATATTTGTATCACACTCAGCCAATGCTTTGTGAATGGCCGTTGTCAGTAAGGTAATTAGTAACGTCTGTCTCTACTACAGTATATTACATTTCCCTCTGACTTCTACTCACTGCATATTTATGCAGATTTTAGTTGTGCTTGATAGCATGCTTATCAATATTTAATTTGTTTAAAAATCTAAAATGTTAAAAATGCACAATGGTTAAATTTGTTTAAGTTTCTTTGGATGGGATATAACCTTTTCTGAAGTTTAAGTGAAAGAACTTTGCTTTACAGACATTTAATTCTGTTCCCTGTCATTCAAATTTTTTTTTCTTCCATGTGAACAACAGCACTATAGGTTTATGTATTTCAAAAAAATCAAATCCCTACATGCAACATAATAAATGTATTTTTAGTCTATCAGCATAGCAGCGTGTCAGCTGGAGACTTGTAGTGTTTCCTGTTTCAAAGCGGCTCTGGAAAACTGAGTTGAGAGTCCCAAATGTCAGAGTATATCATGTTTGTTGCTCCATTGGGATGGCAGATTTTTTCCTGGAGAGACAGAAAAAGAGACATGAAATGCTTTTCTCAGCAATGTGGTGGTTTACCTCTTGCAAAATGGGTGAATGAATACAAACATTCCTTATTTTGGAGGAGGATTGATTGGTCCACTTTTCTAAATTCATAAAATCCATTTAACACCCTTTATGTAGCCAGAGACACTTTCTTAATAGTTTCTCCAAGTATCCAATTGATAATTTTATGGAGATTGATACGGGTTTTTAATTTTATACTTTTACAGTTCCGTTGAATTTTATTGTAATTATGGGCCCGCTTTAGTTGATTAAAATACTGTGAATGTTTATGTTCTCTCCTTTTATACATCCTGATTCAAATTGATGGGATTTGCAGGATGGAATTTGTATTGCAGAAAGTGCAGCACCGCTTGAAAGTGCATCAGTGTAATGGATTGTCACATTTCTGGTTTAAACAAAACAGCAGATGGATTGGGGAGAGGGGCATAGTTTAGTGTTAGAGCTTTCCTTTGCATTCAGAAATTCCCTGTTTCAATTCCACCAAAGTATCCCCCCAAAACTTAGAGCGCAACTGCCACTGTGTTGAACTAGATCAGTGTTTTTCAAACTTGGCAGCTTGAAGATGTGTGGACTTCAACTCCCAGAATTCCCCAGCCAACAGGGGGGGGGGGGGTTGGGGGGGGGTGAACCTCCACAAGTTACGGGCCGGCCAAGTTTGAAACGCTGAACTATATGGATCAGATGTATGACTTGTTATAAGGCTGATTCCTATATTCATTTGCTGCTTCTAGTGATCAGTTTTTCTAACTGACCTCATGTAGATACGTGGAGTCATTGCCATATGGAAGTGTGGTGAGTGGAGAGAAATTGGATTCCAAGGGATTCAGACTTTGGAAGCCTAATGGAAAAACAAGCTGATCTATCAGTTCAGGTGGGAGCAGAGACAGTCTCAATGCTAAGACAGCGATCAGAAGATGGAGGTTTCTTAAAAAAGGGGCAACTCCATTTTGCTTATGTTTAACTGGAGAAGTAGAGTCAGCTCTCCTCCATAGTTGGCTGAAAGCTGGTAAAGAAAACTTGCAGTCATGTAGAAATCTGGGTTGAAGATTAGTGACTTACAGTACATAGCTAACTAGAGATTAGTGAAAGATATATGCAGATTAGAATTCTAGTTTAGAGGCTAATTTGAACTGTGGGGTTTTGTTTGCTATATTTGTGTGTAATCCTGTCTGAGGGAGTAGTAGCTGAAATCAATTCTGGAAATCACTTGATTTTTTTCCTTTTGTCCCTTTTCAACTTCTAGTGTTTTTGATATGCATAGTAAAGATTTGAATTCTTAATGATCCTCATTCTGGGGACAGCCTTTAGCACATGTTTCTCCTCTAGTCAACCTATTGCCAGAACAGTATTGCCCCTTGCGTCCTCCTGAGTAAGTCTGGGAGAAGAGGGTTTCTGCAGTGTGTCAGCAGTTGATAAAAAAGGGTTTAGTATGTCTCTGCAGTGAAATGCAGAGATGTGTCCTCTAATCTGCTCAAAGTTGTCATTTAAAAACTTGAACAGACAATAAGTTTTATTGCTTGAGATGGTCTGAAAAACTACCCTAAAGAGGGAGAACCATGGATTTCAAAATCACACTTCCACACTAACCTCAGTGCAAAAGTTCAGCAAGCTTTTCTTCATAAAATTGGAAGTTCTCTTGAATGTCTTCCCAGGGTGCAAATGCCTTTGCTTCACCTTCCTCCTGCTCTACAAAGTTTTGCCAGACATACTCAAAATCTTGAGGCTTCATGATCCTCAATTTACAACCAGCTGTTTTCATTTTCTTCAAGGCAGCTTGTATGTCAGGTTCTTCCCACATAAATAGACGACCTACTGCAATGGAGAGATGTAGGTTCTTATTCTTCTGAAGTGCTTTAGTTATCAGATCAGCACAGCCTACACAGGGGCTACAAGTGATGTACCAGGTGATGTTGTAGCGCAGACCAGACTCACACGTGGGCAAGATGGTATTGAAGAAGGCATCTTCTGCGTGGGCTGCTGCATGTTCATCTTCCAGGTAGCCCCGTAAGGTTTTGGACTCCTTGCCCTGAATCTCTATGATATAGCACAGGAAGGTCTTGTTTCTTCCTGAACTGTATTCGACATTCTTGAACTGGAAATTGAAAAAGCTGGCTGGAAGCCGTTCTCTGGAGAGAGAAGTGAAAGTCTTAGTGTTGTTACAGAGCTTATAAATAACTACGGTATACAGTGTTGATTTTGTTAAGATAATTTTATAACAACACACTTGTTTCCCCAAGGTATGTAAGGGAAGCAACCAGACAATGGCTATTTCCCACTTATATGCAGAAGCAACCTCACCAATTTAGATATTCTGGAGGTATGGGGTAGGAATTGCTACTTAATACTAGGAATTTGCTTTGAGATGGAAAAAGCAAGAAGAGGTGAATCACACACTGTTACAGCTTTCACTAGCTCCTTTTGTTTTCTAGAGCAATTTTTTTCCCAACCTGATGCTGTCTAAATGCATTGGGCAACATTTCTCACCTGGATAGGTATTCTAGAATTTCAAGTCAGTAGTTTATTTAAACTGGAAAGCGCAAAGGGTAGGCTGTGTACTGTTTTTCAAGTAATCTTTTGCTGATATATCCAGTTAAGAGCATAGTTTACACTTTGTATTATAGTTTCTGTTCATTTTCTTATTTTCTTCTGTAATACTGATGCAGTCTACTAGAGAAGTATATAATTATTCTGCATTTTTGTGATCTAAAGCCATTTGTAAGCACTCTACTGACATTTTATTTTTATCAGTCTTCCCCACTCCCAATAGATTTTACTAAGTGTTTAATTCATATACATTACCCTTCAATATTATAAGTATAAAATAAAATACTGCACAAATAGTGCTTATATCATGTTACTGAAATGAGTGACATAATTCTTGAGTCCTTGAAAATCTTTGAAAACATTTAGATCTCTTCTTTAATTGAATGTACTTTAAACAATTTTTATACCAGAATGCTTGTGGAAAATAAACCTAATAATCTGATGTCTCCCATTCTTTAAAGATTTCCAGATGCATGTTCAGTGAGATGTGAATTTGGGAGAATAGAATATTTTCAGTGGTATGTTGGTAGGAAAAGGAGAATGCTTAACTTTCCTCTTTACCTGTTTTTCTCCCATTGTCCCTAGCTACAACACTAAGAATACTAAGAAGCCTAGCAGTTACAGTGGAAGATGATGATGTAGAAACAGTATGATTGTATCCCCAGAACATTTACAAGTCCCTTTGCGCAGGTTGGTAGCAATGGCAGTGGATAAGCATGTTTTTTTGGCCTTTTCATTGCAGAGAATCTCCTCCCAGGCACCCTCCCCTTCTAACCCAGTCCAATTAAAAAATTAAGGCAAAGCAATCTTCATAACACATGTATTCCCAGACTTAGATGCATACATGTCTTCCTTACAATGACCATTGCCAGGAAATTCAGCTGTCAGCACCACTTCAATCATCCTGATACGTTAGGCAGTTGATATATACTGCTTTACAGTATGAGAAATGCAGATTTTAAATTAATCTCTCCTTCCTGTATAATACTTATGT